TGCAAAGAGGGAGCTGAGCACACATAGTCCACAGGAGTTCGCTCCCTAGACACATGGCTACAGTCAGAAGAATAAAATGTGCAGACGTTTAGAAGGGGTTTTTTTGTGAACATTTTTGCATTCGCCAAAATTGCATCTTTCCTCCAAAGCAGAAAATCAAACTACACAAGTAGTCAGCATAATGCTAATGACGGGAAATAAGTCCCTTCCATTGAATATATGCAATGTAATTGGCCTTGCATGTGCTGTTTCTCAGGGGATTTCTAGCCTCCAAATGCACATTTGCTTGCTTTCCCCCACCCCATTTCATAACGTTTTTATGAAAATGACTCTTGATTCAGTAAGCATCCATAGACTGGAGTACAGTGGTACCTCGGGTTACAGACGCTTCAGATTACAGGTGCTTCAGGTTACAGACTCTGCTAACCCAGAAAGTGGGTTAACCTTGGGTTAAGAACTTTGCTTCAGGATGAGAACAGAAATTGCGCGGCGGCAGCAGGAGGCCCCATTAGCTAAAGTGGTACCTCAGGTTAAGAACAGTTTCAGGTTAAGAACGGACATCCAGAACGAATTAAGTTCTTAACCCGAGGCACCACTGTACAGACAGGCTGCTGGAGGGGTGGGTAGGTGTGCGTGTGCATTTGTGTGCTTTGCTACTAGCTACTGGGAGCCCTGGTTCACACAGATCTGCAGGGCGCCTTTTAGGGGCTTCTCCAAAGTTTCTCAGGGACTTCTTCAGTGGCAAAGCCAGTGATGGTTAAAAGAGTTTGTGCACCATCATTTTCTGTTCTGATGTTTTGGATGCATTCTGGGGCACTTATGCAGTTCATATGGAAAGGACGTTGCTGGCTCCCATTGTTCTGGGAACCTGAAGCCTAAATCAGCAGGATTTGCATATACCATATTTCTCTATGCCTGATTTCATACTCTGGCAGGAAGCCAGCAGCTCCCCAGTCGTACCATTGCAACATGCTGGTTTATGTGCTGGGAATGCTGAGAGTTTGTGCATCGCAGTTTTATTTTCCTAGAAAGACGAGACTCTGAAATCAGAGAAAGAGGGGGAGGCAGCACCCATGCCTGGAGGTGTGGTCACTGCAGAGTGAAATGTGTCCAGTCACCAGTTCAGAATTAAAGCCTCTTAATTTAATCACTAGCAATACATGAGCTGCAGCTGAGAGCGAATGGCAGGAGGCAAGAGGTACCGTTATTTATTGCACTGCCGATTGATTGTAGAGTGATGCCTGGGGGGGAGGGGGAAGCATAGAATTAAAAATAATTCTTGGCAACAAGACACACGGGCACTTTGAGCCTTTGGCTTCAGCAGCAGCAGGATTGTTGAGTTGGCCTGAGTGTCTGCTTTTTTTGTGCGCAGTTTTGGAGATGGGGGAAATAGGCTGGTAGCAGCTAAGCAAAATAAATGCCTCAGTCCTCACACATTGTTTTCTATGTTTAAGAGCTGAGCCGTAGGCAGCTGTTGAGTAGAAGTCAGGAGCCAGGTCTTAGGAGGGAGTCAAACCCAGAGGTCAGAACCAAAGAACAAACCAAGCACCAGAGCCACTGAAATCTATCTTCATCCAAAATCTGCCACTGCCCCAGCAGTTCCATGCTGAACTCTTGTTTCTGGCCTCTTTCTGGTGATAATGCTGGCCCCAGACATTTTGGTGCCTTAAGTGGAATACCCCAAACCTGGATTAAGGTGAGGGCCCTGGTGCAATTCCCCAAATAGGATTCCCCTGCCCCCACAAAGGAATGCATACAATGAATTAGTACTGGGGCACCATTCCACACCATTTTCTTCCCCCTCTCCTTCTTGGCAAACAGGAGATCCACTGCTCATGAGACTTTTAATCTCAGGGTTGTGGGCAGTGGGTTGGACTAGATGACCCTCATAGTGCCTTCCAACTCTGCAATTCTATGAACACATAGGCAGGCAGGAGCAGGGTGGGGAGCAACCCAGCATCTCACTGCCTTTCTTTTCCTTCCTTCAAAAGCTCTTCTGTCCACAGTAAATATGTAATGCACCACCAGCACACAGGCAATGGGGTGAGGTTGAGGTGAAGCTAGGGAGGAAGCCCCTTCTACTGCCCCTCTTCATCTCCCACTCTGTTCAAAAGCCTGAGTTCTGGGCAACAAAATATGTCCACTGCCAACACTTCATTGCTGTCTTTTTGCCCCACCACCCTCGCCCTCCAAAAAACCCACCAAAGGCAAATAAGCTTACTTTTGGCTGCTGCAACCATCTTCCACACCAACTCTCAGAATTCCCTCCCAAGAGAAGGGGAGAGGAAAACTTGGCAGCCAATCAGCATGGAAGCAAAAGAGCCCTTCCAATATGAAACCTGTGCCCCTTGCTTCAAGAAATTCTCCAGTCAGGTGGATAACTTTCCTTCCAGAAGGGCTAGAGACTTGCCCTTTTTAAAATGAAAGCTCAGATTCGTGCCCACCTTGCAGGCATGGGCACTTGTGCAATTGCTGTAACCACACCATGGATAATCTGACTTCGGGAAGACAAAATCCCCACTACCCTGCTAGGAGCAGCCCATTAAAAGAGGGATGGGGAATTTCGAGCCTTGGGGCTAAATGTGCCCCCTCCCTAGGCCTCTCTATGTGGCTCTTGGGACACCTCAGGCTGTGTCTCCTCCCTAGCCACAGCTCCTGCTAGACTGAGCTTGCACCCTTCTTGTGTGTATTTGCCTGGGTGCATTGTGTCCTTGAACTCTAAGAAAGCTTCTCACTTGCCTGGCTGGAGAATGGAAAGAGCTGCGTGAGTGTGTTTAGAAGTTAACCTAACAGGACAAAGGTCCATTTTGCATTCATTGCTCTGCCCACTTTTGCCTCCGGCCATACCCAGAACTGGCATGTGGCCCCCAGACAGCTACCCAAGAGGGATGGTGGCCTTTGGACTGAATACATTTCCCGACCCCTCTTTGAAAAGTCTCACCCATAGCATTCAGACATCAATTCCTGCCTTCACCCGTCCCTCTAAATTCTACCACCAGAAGCCACCCACTTCCCCTTGCTGCTTGATAGAGGCAGCACTGCCTGCTGAGGAGAGCGCAAGGCCAGGCTAGCACTCCTTCAGTATGTGGAACCTCTTTTCCCACCAGGGAGATGCCATAATCTGTATCCCTGGTAGCTCACCATGTCGGACTGTTTCCAGCTCTGGCCTCAGCAGCTCCTGATGGCATTTAGAAACAAGGTTGAGTTGGAAATGCTTCCCCTCTCCTTTTCATAAAGGCATTGCTGTGATTCAGAATGACAGCACTGATGTGATATGAGTTCTTGGAACAGAAGGGATGTCAAAGGTCAGAATGGGCTTGGAGTCCAGAGGCATATTTACACACATCCAGGATTCAGAGGTTGTTATCTCAAGGTGACTTACTGCTGTCCACACCAGGAATAGGCAAACTCGGCCCTCCAGATGTTTTGGGACTGCAACTCCCATCATCCCTAGCTAACAGGACCAGTGGTCAGGGATGATGGGAGTTGTAGTTCCAAAACATCTGGAGGGCCGAGTTTGCCTATGCCTGGTCTACACAGTCATGGGGAAGCCTAAGTAAGGAGGGAGCTTCCTCCAAGGAGCTCAAGGTATGAAGTTTATCCTCACAACAACCCTGTAAGGTAGCTTAAGCTGAGGGGCTGTCAGCTTTGTGGCTCAGTGGGAATTTGAACCCTGGTGTCCCTATCAGAGGCTACTAGCCATAGTGGTTATGCTCTGCCAAAGGCTGGAGGCAGTGTGAATACCAGTTGCTCAAAATCGTAAGCAGGGAGAGTGTTCTTGTATTCGGGTCCTGCTTGCAGGTTTCCCACCCCTACTTCTCACACATTTTTTGTTTCTTTCTTTCAAAAACTGATTCTGAACCTTGAATGACTGCTGGGGGCAGAGAAGGGTGCTGAGAATGGAGAAGACCAGTAGATAGAAGCAGCAAAGTTGCCTTGCTTTCCCTCTGCCCCCTGCTGCTTATAGGACAATGGGCACAGGAAAGAGAGGACAGAAACCTTTCAATCCCGCTCCAAATTGAGCTCCAACTTAACATTCAAATAAGATGATTATGCACTGAAGACATGCCCATAAATTCCGGAAACTTAATTGCTCTGTTGCCAAGCAGAGGTTCAGGTATCTCAAGTGTGTCTTTCTCTAATGCTTGAGTTGTGCGGTGGGTGTTGTTGTGCTCTAGTTGCATCTGACTGGGTGTTTGCAGTCAACCCATGTGACCTTGGTTGCAAAAGTTCTTAGCTGCTGACGGAGGAGCAAGGGACAAGATGTTAGGTGGGGTTGTGCACAAAACACCCAGAGAGACTGTGGGTCGGTCTTATGCATTGCTTAGATGCATAGGTCTCTCTCTCTCTCTCTCTCTCTCTCTCTCTGTGTGTGTGTGTGTGTGTATGCATATGCCTGAATGAATAAATGAGTGGGTATATGTGAGAATGAATTGTGTGGCTCTTGTGTGAGATGTGCATGAATAAGAACAGAAGAAAAGCCTGGCCATTGGAAGATCATTTCCAAAAAAACTGTACAATGGGGGTGGTGAACCTGCAGCCCACAGGTTGCATCCAGCCCACTAAATTTCAGAGCTCCCCCAAATGCAGTTTGAAAACTAGTGAGGAGTTGGTTTGGAAGTGGGATGCCCAGGTACAAACCCCTCACTCAAGGCCAGCATCCACTGCTGATCCCCACCCCCTCCCATTGCCCTGTTCCTCACAGGGACATACACAGCTATCTTATACTGCGGCAGACCATTGGCCCATCTAGCTGAGTATTAATTAATTGAATCTTGGAAAGAAAAAGAAGAAAGAAACTTGAAATGAAATTTTTAAAGTCAAGGCACACACCTTCCCTTTAATTGTCTTTCTGCAGCTGCAGTCAAACTATTTAATCACAGGATCAGAGGTGGCTGTCTTCTACTGACTCGGACCTATGGCCCTTCTAGCTCAGTATTAAGCATGCTGACTGGCAGCAGCTTTCCAAGAATCAGACAGGGTTTTCTACCATCCCTGCCTGAAGATGCCATGGATTGAACCTGAGACCTTCTGCATCCAAAGCTGATGCTCTGCTGCTGAGCTGTAGCCCTTCCTCCTACTTGCTGTTTCTGCCTATTCACCTTCCTTGCCCAAATGTGTGAGCATTGATAGAGCCACTTCACTGGCCTGTTGCATTCCAGTTGTTTTGGACTACAACTCCCAGCAGCCCTGTCCATCATAGCAAATGGCCAGGAGTGATAGGAGTTGTAGTCCAATAACATCTGGGGGGACATCAAGTTGAGAAATGCTCACCAGTAGCAAGCAGGAAACAGCAGCAGTCTCTAGCTGCCTTGGCTTCTCCTTCTGATTGCTGGTGGGAATGGGCCACTGATGACAGGGACAAGGAGGTGGTTCTTCTCATGGAAGGAGCCCTATGAAGAACCTCTGGCCCTGAGTTCTTCAACCTTGGGTCACCAGATGTTTTACTACAGCTCCAGTCAGCCCCAGTCAGCTTTGCTGGGTCAAGAATGATGTAGTCCAGCAATATCTTGGGAATCCAAGTTTGAAGAAGACTGGTCTAGCCCAAGGTTCACAAAACCTTCTCAGCCAAGAAAGTGCTCCATACTGGCTGCAGCACCTCTTTTACATTCCAGGGATTGCTGCAAGTGTGAAACCAAGAAAGATCCGTGAAAGGCTTTCTGTGCCAAGGAATGTTACAGAGAGAGCAGAGAGCAAAGTCTGGAGTGGCAATTGAAGAGACATCAGTGGAGGCCTATCACGTATCATTGGGCGCCCTTCAAGGTTTACCAGCAGTTCAGCAATCCAGCTGGTTCAGCCAATGCAACTTGGAACCAGAAAACTTGAAAGTGCATTTGGGTCCATGATAAAGGTGCGCTGCTCTGCTACCTCCTTGAGCTGCGAGGGCCAAGCCGTTGCTATATAAATAACTTTCTCAGTATGAAAGGCCCTCGACCTACTTTCCAGACAATAGCACCGGCCTCTGTCACTCATTCATCAACCACTTTCCCCCCACCTACCCCTGGCTCCCAGCAGGAGTCTCATGTCCTGGATTGCTGCCATTCTGCAGCCTTCTCCACCTTTCTGTTCAGACAGCCTGCTTACTGTAAGAGCCAAAGCAACCCTCTGGCCTCAAGGTCATTCCTTCTCGGCCATGGACAGGCATAGCAATCAGTCATAGGACGAAGGCACATACCGTAGTACCTTTTGAAGCATGGTGACAGTACTTCAAGGGGCAGGCAAGTGAATTCTTAACAATACAACAGGAGTTGTAGAGGCTTCCATCAGCCCCAGGCAGCATGGTCAATGGTCAGAGATGACCTGACCATTGCAACATCTGGAGGGAACCTTAGATTGGGGGGGTGCGTGCATGCATACATTCATGGATGTATTGTAGCTCACTAGCAGAGTGCATGTTTTCCATGAAAATGGTCACAGCTTCATTCACTGGCATCTCCAGTTGCATTGTAGTGCAGAAAGTCTGTTTCTGGCTGAAATCCTACACAACTAATGCCAGTCAGAGCACACTAGGGCTAGCCAACATGGCATCCTCCAGATGTTCTTGGACTCAACTCCTATCAGCCCTAGTGAGCATGGCCAATGGTGATGGATAATGGGGAGCTGGAGTCCAATAGCATCTGGGGGGCACAATATTGGCTGTCCCCTGTAGGAGACTATCCTGGGCTAGATGGATCTGACCTGGCAATTGTCAGCTTCCTCTTTTCCTTCCATTGGAAGAATTGTGCAGGGCAGCTACAACACTCTAAGGAGGCTGAAAAAATGTTTCTCATTTGAATCCAAAGGATGGGCATTCAAAGAAGCCAACTGAATGGATGTCTTCTCTGGAACACACCCTTTCAGAGTAGAATTTCTGACAAAGAGGAATGAGCATCTATCGACAGATGTATCAGGAGCAGAGTTGATCTTAGGGGTGACACTCCTGCACCACTTAATAAAAAAAAGACAGTATTTGTATAAAAGTTCCCCGTGCTAATCAATACATAGAGATGCAAAATTAGATGTGTTCTATTTCTATTCAAGTTATAGCAATTGCATCTCACCATGCTGGATCAATTTATAGTTATAGATCATAGTTAAACTACGGAACTTATTCCCAGAGCAAGCAGTGATTGCAACCAACTTGGATGGCTTTAAAAAAAGGATTAGACAAATTCATAGAGCATAAGGCCACTTGCCCCGATAGCTAGGCTCTGCCTTCTGAATACCAATTGCTGGAAGCCACAGGAGGGGAATGTGCTATTGTGCTAAGCTTTTCCTGGCAGTTCTCCCACAAGCATCTGGTTAGCCACTGTGAGAACAGGAAGTTGGACTAGATGGGCCATTGAGCTGATCCAGCAGGATCTCCTTATGTTCTTAGGTGGCCTGTGTACTTGCTCGGCCTGCCATTCAGGTGCTCACTGCTGTTACTGAGCAATTCCAAGGCCCCTTTCTTATGTTATTTTCTTTTTTTTAAAAAAAACACTTTAAATTGGATTTGTACCACGCAGCCCTTCAAATAGAGCACTGACCTCTGCAAAGTATGGTACATGGTCCTCCTAGCTGATGTGGAAAGAGGTGGCTCAATATATTGTTAGTTTCAATGGATTGTAACCAGGGCTTTTTTCCCAGCCGAAATTCACCTGATCTCAATTCTGCCACCTTTCAGGTGGGCACTATTGTAAGAGAACAAGGGAGGCATTCACGGTGAGTTTTGGCACCTCTTTTTCTAGAAAAATAGCACTGATTATAACAAATGTTAGTCCTACTTGGAGTACACTCACCAAAATGAATGAGGTTGCATAACAAAACTCCCTCTATTTCAAGAGGTCTACCCCAGGGTGATATCCAGCACAGCGCTAAGGCAAATATCCAATTAGAACAAGAATTTCAGCTTGCATAACGGAATGTTACCCCTCTCCTTCCCTTGTGTGCCCCATAAATCTGTTCTAGGGGTTTTCCAAAACCTCTGAAGCAGATTTAGGGAGAGAGTGGGGTGATGAGAGGGGGAAAGTCCCATTGCACAAGCACTCATCCTGGCACTGATAGGATGCATTAGTAGAATACTGCCTTCTGTGTCAAGGTGGTTCCATAGCTCTTAAATTCTCCTTGCTATATGTCCTTGGCCACCCAACCCCATAGGAGTTGGCAAAACTTAAAGCACCAAGCCCAAGGTGATTGCCCAGGTCCCTACTAGTTCATCTGTAAGCATCAGGAGGGTGAGCTGACAGTTGGCTTAGCTGAGGCCAAAGCACTGAAGAGGTTAATGAATGAGTAATGGGGGAGAAGTCATTCTTGGAAGAGAGACAGCTGTCTCCATGGCTGGCTGTGGCTGCAACGCCAGCTGGCTGAACTTCCAACCGGCTCAGCTGTTTGCATCAGCTTCTGTGCCAAAGATCGGAGTTCAGATGGAGAAAAGGGCTTGCAGACATGCAGTGCTGAAAGTAAAGTACATGTGTGTGTTTTCCCTTGAAACTTCCAACTATGTATCTCGGTATCAAAGCTGGTGTGGACCAGCTATGTCCAACTGAAAACAAGGTTCATCCCTACGAGACACACCTTCCTCGACCTAATGCCTTCCAGACATTTTGGACTTCAGCTCCCGTGGTTGGGACAAATAGGAGTTGAGGACACCAAGCTGGGGGAAGGCTGAGCCTTATACTGAATCAGACCATTGGCCCATTTGGCTCAGGATTGCCTACTCATTGGTAATGGCTCTCCGGTGTTTCAGACGAGGAGTCTTTCCCAGTCCTACCTGCAGATACCAGGGACTGAACCCAAGACCTTCTGCATGCAAGGCTGATGCTCTACCACTGAACCACACCATCCCCTTCTGCTCCCTCCCTCTAGCCAAAGGGGAGGAGACGGGGATGATGACAGCAAACGGGAGTAGCAGCCTTCAGCCTGCCTGCCCCTCCTTCTCCTCAGTGCCAGGGTCAGTGCAGGCCAAGCCTAATACCCACACCGCTGCCCAGACCACAAGACAATGCCAAGGAGGAGAATTTGGTTCACCTGCTGTTCCTCCTCTTCTAAGGGTGACTATGCAGGTTGAAGCAATGAGAGAAGGAGGCTTTTGCCCTGGTGAATTGCTGGTGGCCTGTATGTATGAATGAATGTGTGTGGCTACAACAGGTGAATGGGACCTTTTCAGTTTGAGGAGCACATTCCCTTCTAGGCAATCTTCTGGGGGCCACATGCCAACAATGGACAGGGCAAGAGTCAATAAATGCAAATTTTACCTTTGTGCAGTAGGCTAGGTCCTGCAAACACTTTCACACAAGTCTGTATTCTCCATCCAGGCAAGCAAGAGGCATTATTGGAGATCAAGGGCACCTTCCAGTCAGGCAAAACACTCAAGGAGGGGTGAAGCCAAGGGAGAGTCCTGAGAGCCAGCTAGAGAGGGGTGGAGGTTCCCCATTCCAGTGCTACCAGGCTACATTTCTTTTTTGCTCCCTGCATGTCTGAATGCATTCAAGTAAACGAGGGTAAGGGGCAGAGTTGTGGCCTGTGGTGATTTTTGCAGGACACCATTTTTTAAACAAATAAGCAAACAAACCATGATTGAAGGACTGAGTACACACTCCAGTTTTTTGACAATCTCAAATTTCCATTTTAAACAGATGACAAGTTTCTAGTCCTTAGTGCTGCAAAGCTGTGCTTCAAAGTGCATGGGCAGCACCTGACAGAACCTCAGAAGCAGCCTTCTGGTAGATCGGGAGCAGGGCTGCTGTGCCCACAGAGTTCTTCCCTCATAACATGCTGAACAACACACCCTCCCTGAAAAAAATTATGCAGAATAAATAATAAAAAGCAAGGAGAGTGATGTGCAAATGAGTCAAATTATGCAAATTTGCTCAATTTGAATAATTTATACAGGTCATGGAATTTTAACTTTCCTTAGTAAAGAATTTGGGTTGCCTGGGTGTGGAATTTAATTTTTATTTTGTTTCAACTTTTTAGCAAGGTGTGCACACTGCTGCCCTGAGTATGGAGCAGCGGGAGGTCTATAGATAAGGAGGTAGAACCTAGTGAGGTCCAGATTCAACCTCAGCATCTCTTATTAAAGGATCTCAGGTATCTTCCTGAAAAGAGGGGAGCCGTAGCTCAGTGTGCAGAAGGCACCAAGCTCAGTCTCTGCAGTCTCTACTTTAAGAACTGATCTGGTAGAAGGTAGTGGGGAAAGAACTGATCTGGTAGAAGGTAGTGGGGAAAGACCTCTAGGCCCTGGAGAACTGCTGCCTATCACATTAGGGGTTAGCTAATGTGGTTCCCTCCAGATGTCATTGGACTACATTGGGATCCAGCCATCCCTGACCTTTGACCATGCTGGCTGGGGCTGATGGGAGTTGAAGTCCAACTTCTGGGATGAGGCCACATTAGCCATCCCTGCAGCAGCTCAATACTGAGGCAGATGATGTGCAAATAGTATACAGCAGCTTCCTTGCTGCCTGTAGGAGCAGTTGGCACTAGGATAGAAGGGCCAGTGGTCTTATCTCAAGAAAGCCCCTTAAATCTACTGCAAGAGAACTAGCTCCTCTTCTGCAAGCAGGGGTACACATTCCTGGCTGCCACCCGCAGGGCTTGATTCAGCTGTGCAAAGTGGGGATGGAACTCCTGTATTTCAAATTCCCCCAAGGATCAGGCTGCAAAGTTCCTGGAAGGATCTTGAGTTGTATTTTTCTTGCCTGCCACAAGGGGTGCCAACTTGAATAAAATGGGGGGGGGCAGTTAAGCCCTGCTCTGAATAATTGATCACATGATACAGCACACACACATCATGAGTGGGAAACCCAGCCAGATGGGAAGGGTATAACTAAATTATTATTATCCTGTACATGATCAGTGAATAGTAGCACACAAATGACAGCCCATGCACATGGCACATAATGGAGCAGCCCATGCTCATGATGTCACAGCTTCCTACAAGCAAAGTCCAGTTTAGGTAGAGGGGTTTTTTAAAAAAAATGGATCAGGGCGTTGTGAATATCCATTATTTTCTTTGTGATTATCACGATGGATAAGTGTTCCAAACAGGCATCGAATCTGAGAACATTATCCTTCCTCTGCTAGTACTGTAACTATTTGTTCAGTCTGATATTCAGACTGTTTAGGGAAGTTTTTAATGTTTGATGTTTTATCGTAGTTTTAATATTCAATTGGAAACCGCCCAGAGTGGCTGGGGAAACCCAGCCAGATGGGCAGGGTATAAATTATTATTATTTTATTTATTTATTTATTATTTGAATGGCAATGCCCATTTATTTTGGGGTGCCCAGGGCCCTCACATATTTTATGGGGGGGGCGAAGACCCCTCGGCCGCTCGCAGTTGGTTCCTATGCCTGCCACTCTATTCCCGCCCTCTTCCCACCTCAGCCTCCCCATCTGAGGTTCTTTGGCTCAGGCAACACAGCATCTGATTATCCATCAGTTGCTGGAAGCAACAGGAGGGGAGAGTGCTCTTGTGCTCATCTTTTGTTCCCTGCTTTCCCACAGGCATCTGGCTGGCCACTGTGAGAACCCGATGCTAGGCTAGATGGGCCTTTTGGTTCTTATGACTGAATCATGAGTGTGAAAATTGGGGGAAACACCTGTCAGGAATTCATTAACCGTGATTCCTGTAAAGAAGGGGGTTTGACTTGAAGACCCTTTGCATTCTTTCCAACTCTACAATTCTATGATTTTATGAATCATACTAACCTATTCATGGATTTAATTTCCATGATTTGGCACATGACTTCAAGCAAGCCTACTTTATTTATTGTGCTTATTCTCATTTCACAAAATTTGCATACCCTTTGATTGCAATGAAACAGTTTACTCCGAGATGGTTCATCTGTATATTGCAGCTGGCACCATCTTAGAGGATCCGTGATACATGAGGTTGCATTAACAACTTCCTTTATATTAACATCAGCCACCTTCAAACTTTCTTCACTTCACTGCTTATATTTAACATTATTATTATTATTATTATTATTATTATTAGTTATTGTTATTATTATCATCATCATCATCATCTGAACTATGCATCAGGTTAGGTAAAAGTGGGGAGGGGGTGTCAAGTTTGTCATTTTTATATGTAACAGAATACAATTTTTTGCAAGTATAGAACGCAATAAAAATTTAGAAGAAAAATATCTTAGAAGATACATCCTCACCTGGATTAGAGAATTGGGAAAATCTTTTAAGGATAGATAAATTGTCAGAGTCCAATTTATCAGGGGTGATTTTTTTGTTAGATTAAAAATGATTGAAGATTGATTAATGTTGATTTAAGAGATTTTTATCTAACTGACCAATTGATTAAAGATTACAGTCTGATTGAATAGAAGATCAAGCATTAACTTTCATTATTAGTATTATTCTTGTAACTACTGCAACACCCTTAATGTGCACAAGATAACAGACTGCTTTCTAGGAGCTTACAATCTGAATGACTTTGTCACCCATTTCAAGACATGTCCTCTCTTCTGACTTCTTCTTTTAAGTAATCAGGGTTTCCTGGACTTCATGTGTACCAAAATCACAGAAAAGTGTTGTAAAATTGTTGATACCCGCAACAGTGGCTCAGTCCCAGGTTCATTGTGGTCCCTGTCTCCTTGAGGGGTTTACCTACTGATATTTTTCAATATGAAGGCTGCATTTCCTTTTTAGGGGCCTCGTACCAGTCAAGAGCAAGGCCCAGAGGGAGATGTGAGCAGGGCAACAGGTGTGAATTTTACCTTTGTACAGTTGGCTAGCTTCTACACAAATTTACACACCCCTCTCTGTTCTCTATCCAAGGCAAAGCAAATGCGATGATCAGAATTCAAGGACACTTTTCACCCAGGCAAAAGCACTCAAGCAGGGCCAGTGAGGGACACGGCTTGGGGAGAGCCCCAAGGGCCAGACAGAGAGGTGTGGAGGGCCATGTTTGGTGCCTGGGCCTGAGGTTCCCACATCCCTGCCTTATTGCTTCTTGATCTCCTCTCCTCCCTGGAGCTCCAGCCAGGGTTTCATCTCAGCTGTTCTTTGCTTCTCCTTCCATGCCAACTGTTCAAACAGTTTTTCCCCCTCTTCCCCCTGCAAACAAAACTCCTCCTGGGCTGGGTAAGGCGAGAGCTGAGCAAAACGGAGGAAGTATAATATTTGCACACATCTCATTACTAAATTCTCATCCCTGAGATTTAGCAGACTGTGACCAGGAGCATCCCTGGCAAATAATAAGCAGAAGGGCCATCAGAAAGGAAGCCAGCACACAGACCTCCGGGGACAGTAATTACCCATCACTTTTTCAAGCCGAGTGGAGGCATGAAGTGGATACCATCTGAGATGGGGCAGGGGAAGGAATGGACACAACATTAGGACTGAAAACTGTAATAGATTTAATTGGAAGATGAATCAGTCAAGATTTCGTTGATTAATTGGTCAGCCTGAAACTGATGAGCACGTTATTTTGTCGTTTTGGAAGCCATTTGCTGAGAAGAAGGTTGTGCACAGCCCACGTGGTAAGCCCATGGCTGAGCTATACATCTATGTCAGTATTATCAAAGTAGTGACCTGCTGCTTCCTCTCTAGAAGACTAAACAGAGGACTCTGGGGCATGCCTCACTAAAGGGAAAGGGAAAGGACCCCTGACAGTTAAGGCCAGTCGTGAACGACTCTGGGGTTGCAGTGCTCATCTCGCTTTACTGGCCGAGGGAGCCGACGTTTGTCCGCAGACAGTTCTTCTGGGTCATGTGGCCAGCATGACTAAGCTGCTTCTGGCGAACCAGAGCAGCACACGGAAACGCTGTTTACCTTCCCGCCGGAGCTGTACCTATTTATCTACTTGCACTTTGACGTGCTTTCGAACTGC